CTTTCTTGAAAAGAAAAATGCAAGTTCCTGTGGATAGGACATAGGATTGGGAGTCAAATAGCTTGGATTATATTTGTATTCTCTAAAACTGCTCTCTGACTCATTTACCTAACTATAAAACAGTTGAAATACTGAGCTGTGCAGTGCAAAATGGAATCATAATGAACCCATCTGTTTCTCAGTGAATGCAAACTATACCTTGAAAGGTAATTGTCTAATATGGTAAATATGACTCTGACTCACTCTTTCACATTGGATAAAGTCACTTATATGTTCCATAGTTTCTCCATCTGTAAAATTGGTATATTGTTATATGGAATATATGCAATATTCAAAAATTAACTTGTTTACAATTCAAATTTAGTGAGCAGAATAATGGTAGTACATCCAATTGTTCTTAGCTCTTTAATAGTTTGTGTCTGTGTGTGATATATAAGAACTATGGAACAAGTGAGTTATCCAATGTGAAAGTGTGAGTCAGTGTCAGAACCAGCAATATTTACACTAATAAAGGACTAGAAAACTTACCAGGTGTTTCTCAGGCCCTACAGAGCAGGTGGCTGGAGTTGTGGGAGAAGCAGGAGTCATGGCAAAGCCTTGATGGCGGTGGGGGGAAGAGAGTGAGAGTTGAGGGGGGAGGAGAGGCTCAGGGTGTGAGGTCCCATCAAGCAGAGCTTTCTGTCACCCCTCATAGGGCCCTTGTCTCCCCAAACCCCCTCCCCAGCTGCCATGGGCCTTCTGTCTGCCCATTGCCCCCTCAGCTGCCAGGAACCTTCTGTCTTTGCCTGCCTCCCCCAGGGCCATCTGTCTGCCCTGATCTCCTTGGTTGCCAGGGGCCCACTGTCCATCCCCAGACTCAATACGCAAGGCCGCTCACAGAAGATTGTGCAGATGTTAGAAATCTTATTATCTGTGCTTTATTAGACTTGATAGTATTGGATACACCTAAAAGCAGGGCTGCATTAAGGAGACACATAAATGTAGGGGCTGGAAGAGACCTCAAGATGTCATCTAATTCATCCTTTCCCAACCCACATGGTGAGGCGGGACAAAGTATACCTAACTATTCCTAACAGATATTTGTCTAACCTATTCTTAGAAACTTCCAGTGAAAGATTCCACAACCTCCCTTGGTAAACTATCCCAATACTTTAACTATCCTAACAGTTAGAAAGATTTTCACAAGATCTAACCTGAATCTCCCATGTTGCACATTAAACTGATTATTTCTTAGGGCTTGTCTACACTACCTCTTTACTGTGCTATAACTTTTTTCCTTGGGGGTATGAAAAAACACCCTCCCTGCAAGTGCTGCAAGTTACAGCACTGTAAAGAGCCACTGTAGGCTCCTAGCTCTCTTAGCTGCCTCCCTTGTGAAGGTAGTTTACAGTGCCCTTCCAATGCTGTACATAAACAGTCTCCCAGCATTGCAGCTATAACTACACTTCTGAATTAAAGTGCTGCCATGTCTGAGCTTTACATTTACAATTTTACAAGTGTAGAAAAAGTCTTACTCTACCTTCAGTGGACATGGAGAAACATGGATCGCTGTCTAATAATGGGTGCATCTACACTGCAGGGCTTACCTTGAAATAAGCTACACAAATTGAACTATGTCAATTGAGTGTCTTATTTCGAAATAGCTTACTTTGAAATAGGGACAATCTACGCAGCACTTATTTCGAAATAGAACAATCTTCCTCTAAAATCCCTTATTCCTTTTACAATGAGGGTTATAGGAGTCGGAGTAAGAAGTCCTCCAGCTTGACAGTATATTGACTCTATTTCAAAATCACTGCCTGCTGTGTAGATGCGGACTGTTATTTTGAAATAGTGCTAGTTATTTTGAAATAGTATTGCAGTGTAGACGTACCCTAATAGTCATTCACATACCTGAAGATTGTTAATTGGTCCTCACTCAAATGTATCAAGATTAAATACTTCCAGGCTATGTCTGGACTGGTCCCTAATTCCGGAAAAGTCATGCAAAGCAGGTAAGTCAGAATAGGGAAATCCGCGGGGGATTTAAATATCCCCCGCGGATTTAAATAAACATGTCCGCCGCTTTTTTCCCGGCTTGGGGAAAAGCCGGAAAAAAGCGTCTAGACTGGCGCGATCCTCCGGAATAAAGCCCTTTTCAAGTAGGAATAAGAGATCCTCCGGAAAAGGACTTTATTCCAGAGGATCGTGCCAGTCTAGACACTTTTTTCCGGCTTTTCCCCAAGCTGGAAAAAAAGCGGTGGACATGTTTATTTAAATCCGCGGGGGATATTTAAATCCCCCGCGGATTTCCCTATTCTGACTTACCTGCTTTGCATGACTTTTCCGGAATTAGGGGCCAGTCTAGACGTAGCCCCAGTGTTTTAACCTTTCCTCATAAATCAGGCACACACTCTGAAAGTCAGGATATCAAGTTAGGGTTTTTTTTAAATATATATATATTTTTTGCTCTTCTCTGGATTTTTGTTAATTTAGCCACATCTTTGTTAAAGTATGGTGCTCAGAACTGGACTCAGTTCTCTAGTTGAGGCTTTATCAATTTCAAGTAAAGCAGAATAATTATCTCCCATGGAGGGGGTGAAAACTTTAATTTCTTATAGGTAATGTATCATAATTCCCCCCTGGAGGGCTCATTGTGGGTGCTTTTGGGGGTGGGGGTTTTGATACATTCCTTATAGATACTGTTGTAAGTGTGAGGGTGGAGAGCTCGAGGCAGGGGGTTAGGGGTGTGTGAGTAGTACAAGAGTCAGGGCAGTGTGTTGGGAGTATGGGGGAGTTTCAGGACAGAGAGCTGGGATAGGGGGTTTGGAAGTCAAGGCAGGGAACTGTGTGTGGGGAAGCCCAGGGCAAGAGGCAAAGGGTGTGTGTGTTGGGGGGGGGGAAACAGGAGTCAGAAGAGAGGCCTGTGTTAGGGGAGATGGAAGAGTCAGGGCAGCGGCCTCTGTGTGAGTGGAAGTATAGGAGTCAATAAAGGGGCCTGTGAGTGTGTGTGGGGGGGGGGGGGGAGGAGGTGTAGGCATCAGGGCATAGGGTTTGGGGTATGTGTAGAGAAGCTCAGGGCAAGGGGCTGTCTGGGGCTGGGTTACCTTATCTGGCTGTTGCTCCTCTTTTCTGTCAAGGGAGTTGTGGACAAGCTGTGTGACGGCACTGTTGCAGCAGGCAAATGGGCAGTGGTGGCGTGAGAACACCCAAGCACTGCTTCTTTCCCCTGGCTTCTTTTGGGGGTCTGCATATGTACTGTCTGGCCTCCTGCGAGAGAGGGGAAAAGCGCGGACGCACCAGGAGCCATCTGGGAGCGTGCCCATCTCCCCTTCAGATGGCCCCTTTAACTTGCCTACCTCAGCTGGCTGCCTGCCTACTTACTGTGGCACACAGGGTTGCCAGTGCCAGTTGGGAGAGCACACTGCAAACTGTGCCTCATGCTTACACCTGCAGCAGAATACCCCAGCTGGCTCTTACTGGAGCAGTGCATTACCTTAACCTGTGCTCCCATGTATTACATACATCGCTCCTGTTAATGCAATTATACCAGTCTCTCTTTCACAGCTGGATTACACTGTCGACTCATATTCAATGTGTGATTCACTACAAACACCAGATCCTTTACTGCAGTGCTATTGCTTAGCCAGTTATTCTTCATTTTGTAGTTGTGCATGGATCTTTCCTTCCTACGTATAGTACTTTGCATTGTCTTTGATTGAATTCCATTTTGTTGATTTCAGACAAATTCTCCAATTTATCAAGGCTACTTTGAATTCTAATCTTGTCTTCCAAAAAGCTCCTCCCATCTTAGTCTCATCTGAAATTTTATGTCTGAAGTTCCCACAATGCATAATTTGGGGCCTGTTGCTGGATATTAAGTAATGGTTACTTAGTTAATCGAATTTCCATGGATTACTCAATTAGTTGATAAGGGACTATTATTGGTGTGGCTCTGCATTTTAAATGTAGTAAGAGCCCACTATGCAAAGTCACAAGGGGGTTAGCTCCTAGGGCCAGTGCAAGCCATGACTGAACACTCCAGGCCTGCGCTGGTTCTAGGATTGTTGTGGCTCTCCTCCTTAAATATAACAAAAGACAGGACTATGCAGCACTTAAAAGACTAATGAGATGGTTTATGGATAGTGTGTAGTCTGGTCTTGAAAGTTAGAGACTCTGCTAACACAGCTACATCTCTATTAATCTCCTTAAATATAGTAAGAGCCACTGGGCTTACTACAGTTAAAGTGCAGAGTTGCATTAGGGTTAGCTCTTGGGCTGGTGCAAGCCGGGACTGAACGCTCGCAGCTCGTGTCGGATCCAGGATTGCTGTGGGTCTGCCTCCCCCCGCACTGCAAAGACGGTGCTGGGGGAACCAGCTGGTAAGCCAGCTTCCCCAGTACTCTCCCCTGTCCCCGCCCTTTGCTGCCTCTGATACACAGGCTGCAGAGGGGTGGGTAGGGAGGAAGGGAGTAGTTGAATAGTCACTCCACCAGTCCCTTACATCTCTAGTCTATGCTGGGGGAGGCACTGCCTAGATATGTGTGGTCCCTTCAGTGTGGTAACCTGTGACTGAGTCCCAGGAGTGGATGGGGGGAGGGCAGTTGCTGTCTGCTCCAGCACAGGAGTGGCTGGGAGGAAGGGGTGCTCAGACCTATCCAAGGATCTGTCACTCTGCACCCCCCGGCTGGAGGAGAGGTTCAGACCCGTTCAGGGGCCTGCTGCCCTGTGCCCCGGGGGGGGGGGGGCAGACCTGTTTAGGGGCCTGACGCTCTGCACCCCAAGACAGGAGGAAGGTTCAGACCGGTGCAGGGACCTGTCGCTCTGCGCTCCAGGAGCGGTTGGGGATGGTTCAGAGCAGAGTGAGGGGAATCAGCCCTGCGTTTCTCCGCCCCCTCGCCCCCCGCCGCTCTGCTTCCCCCTCTCCGGGCGGTGCCTAGCTGCGGAACGCTCTGCTCGGGGTCCCCTTGCGCCCCTGCTCGGGCCGGGGAGCCAGCGGCGGGGCTGGCTGCCCAGCTCTCCAAACGCCCAGAGCGCGCCGTGGGGCGGTCCCACTGCCGTCCCCTCCTCCCACCAGCCTGCGCTGGGCAGGGAGTCGCCTGCGCCGGCTCCAGGTCCAGGAGCGAGAGCAGCCGCAGCTGAGAGCGGAGACCTGCTGCCGGCCCCTCGCACCATGGCCCGCTGCACGTCGGCGGCCGGGCTCGGCTTCGTGCTCCTGCTCTGGAGCGGGGCGCTCTTCCTCGCCGCCTCCCCGCAGCCCCAGTCGCCGCCGCCGCGGGGCAGCGTGTGGTGCCCCAGCCGCTGCTTGTGCTTCCGCACCACGGTGCGCTGCATGCATCTGATGCTGGAAAGCGTCCCCGCCGTGTCGCCCCAAACCACCATCCTGTGAGTACCCGGGGAGGCCGGGAGCTTCCCACCCGCCACGCGGGAGCGGGCAGCAGGGGGGCTTCGGAGCACTTGTGGGGCGGGGGGAGGGAGCTGTGCAGCCGCCGCCGCCGCAACCCTTTGTCTCCAGCCTGTAGGATTGGGAGCGGCGGTGACTGGGCTGCACTCCGGAGATGGATGTGGCGCGAGCAGCCCGCACCCAGGCTCTGCCAGCTGGGGCTAGGCTCAGTCACTCGTGCTCGCCGGGTGTCTGCCTGGCGAGTTCCTCTCCCCCTTTTTGCCTCGCTGCGGGTCGCTGAGCGCGCCGAGGCGCTGCACTGTTGAGTTTGGCCCGCAGCTGTTCGCCTTCCCCCCTCGAGGCCTGTCGCCAGTAGGACGAGTGTGTGTGGGGGGAGGGGGTAGTGGGGGAGAGATCACTCAGCGGGCTCCACCTCCCCTTTCTTGGATCCTTTCATGACTTATTCAGCACCGGCTTTCGGAGGCAGCTGCAGAGAGCTGTGTAAGGAGCTGTTGCTTCACCAGAGGAGACTTGGGCTTGATGGGAAAGGTTTCGTCGCACTCCACCCAAGCCTAGATGTTTTCAGTTGGACGCACTTTTTGGTTGCTTTCCTGAATCGGGCTGTTGAACTGCAGAGCTACTAGAGCTGTCGCCAATTCTTGTGAATTTGTAGATGTTCTTAAATAAAAAGTAATTGTGAAACATGGAGATTGTGTCTAATAATAGCCGGTTTTTTTAAAGTATATCTGATTCCTAAAATGTTTTCACTGTGACTCTTCGCAGTGGCTCGGTACAGAATGTTTCATACATGACAGTGGCTCGTTTGGGAATGTTATACTTTTGGCTCAACTTTAAGCAGCACTGTGGACATACTGTTCACATGCATCTCAGGAAGTGGGTCTTTGCCCACGAAAGCTTATGCTACAATACATCTGCTCGTCTATACGGTGCCACAGGACTTCTTGTTGTTCTTGTGGACATACAGTACACCAGGGACCAAATTCTATACAGAATTATACACTCCAGGGTCCCCATCTCACAAAGATTTGTGCAAATGCTTAACTTGATTGAGTGTGAATGGTCCTATTTATGTCAATAGGATTGACTCCTTTGCTACTTGTAGAGTAGCATAAATCTTGGCAGCATTAGGGTTCAGACAGCTGATTTTCAGTGGGATTCTATGGTGTGAAAGCCAGTACAGAATTTGGTCTAAAATTTTTTGACATTGATTTAATATCAGTTTTATTATTTCCTCCCAAAACTTTTACCATGTACATGTTTTGTTAGTCTTTAAAATACTACCAGGCTCTTTATTGTTTTTAAAGTTTTTTTTAAAATTTATTGTGAGTAATGGATTAGCCCCATGAACCTGTTTCTTGGGATCCAACAACACTCCTGGAACTAATTCCTGGCCTCGCTTACACAAATGCAACTATAGAAAACTCTGAGAGTAGAGCCTGGCCCTGGCTATTTTCTGCAGGACCTACTGTAACTTACTGACTTTTGAATTTCAGTTATTTTCAGAAAGGCCCCATTGAGTCTTTTGGTATTCAGACTCTAAATGTCTCATTTTTGATTCCCTCTGGCACAATGTGAACCTTTTTGGCAGGATCTGAGCAGTCCTGAAGTAGTTGTAAAAGTTTTAGTGAACAATACAGGAAGTGGGTGGTTAATGTTTCTTGCATTTGGAACTAAGTACATATACAGAGCACATTTTATATTGGTCATTGAGCTTTAGACAGCTTTCTGTAGTTTTGTGTTGTGATTTTTTTTAAAAGAATCCTAACAGGGATGCAAGTCGAAAAGGTTTGGACACATGGCAAAGATATTGAGGCTTACAACAGCAAAATAGATTATACCTGAACAAGGTGGAGCACTTTTCACCATTAATTTGTAAGATGAAAATATATAAACAAAACCATCTTTATAGTTGTCTAACCTCTTCAATATCAAACCTTCTAGTCTCTCAAATTTGAGTAAGCATTCTAGTCTAAAATAAAAATTAAAAAGAAAATAGGTTAGCATTTAAATGTTCTCAACTCAGTTTAAGGAACTGTTCTCAAAGTATGCCTTGTGGACGTTTGTGGTCTGTTGAGATCTTACTATTCACATGGTGACAACTATCCTTTTTTCCACCTACTTTATCACCATTAAAAGACAATTAAAATATAGCAGGTACTTTCTGAATATTACTTTTCCATAAAAGCAATTTCTATAGTTCCTACAGTTGGTGGTGGTGATTGAGAAGGTGGGCCAGAAGATACTATTGCAGTATGGAATTGTTTAAGAACCCCTTCGCACAAGGGATAAAATTGATCTAGTAACCACAACCAGTAACTTCATTTGCTATGAATATATCAGAAGTAGTAATTTTTGCCTTTAAGCCCATAAATATACATTATGAATATTTATTTATTGCATACATTTTGGAGGTATTTATTGTGGTAGTATTTCAGCACCCAATGGTTTACATAATTATTACTGTCTGTAGTTCTTTTCCATTTTGTAATAGTATGTATGGTAAACTCTTTTGCAGAAATGTTATGCTTTTGTGGAGATACCTCATCACCCAGGCAGAAGCAATGTTCTGAACCTCCATCTTTAGCGATGGATTATTTTTAACATCAAAATAAAATACATTTAAATTATATTCCATTTGTTAATCATCAGTTTATATTTTTCTTTTGGAATTAGTATTTTTAAGTGCATTGAAGAATGTAAGTTTAGTGAAGTTACAAACAGTTTGGTCTGGACCATTATGAAGTAGACTGAGCCAGCTAATGCATTCCACAGAAGTAAGGACAATAGAAGTCTGTAGGAATTTTCCAGCCAAATCTATAAATCATCTGTCAATCTGTGTTGACATTCGTTTTCTATTCTGTTTAGCTATCATTTTTATGACAATGTCATATTTTGTGTAAGGTAATGCAAATACATTTTTGTGAATGGCAATGATAGCTAGATTGTTTCGAAGTATTAATTAGATGCTTTAATTTAAATACATTCACTCTCGCTAGAACAGAAACCTATAAAAATCCTGCAAACACCGCTACTAGAATCTTAGCATGTTTTCACTAGCAGGACTTTATCTTCTTACCTTTTTCTCCTCTTAATGTATGGCTCTACTCTGAATAGTGACTAAGAATGGCAAAATGGGATTTCCTTTTTTATTGTGTCTCATTGATTTCCAGACTCATTTTTTCAGTTTATAACTGCCTCACCATGGAACCAGAGAACTGAACGGTTTTCTTTCTGGCTCTCACATCACTTCCAGTGGTGGATTAAAACAAAATGGACCTGAATAAAATCCAGACAAATATTTCCCTCAGAAATAAAAATCTTCCTTCTGCAAATATGTATGTTGCAGTCCTGATTTCTTAACATGTTTCTCCATTCACTGACATTGCCATTCTGCATTCCCTTGGAGATCCATATTCTGGCTTTGATTCACACAAGCAGACTCTTAACAATAGTGCAGTCTTACTGAAGTGTGTGGAGCTCTGCATAAACACAGCACTTCATCTGAGTGGATCAGAGTACAGGATCAAGTCTTCTGTGTGACTACTGGTTGGCTCTAGTCCTTCATCTGCAGCTCCTTGAATCTACTTCCATTACATCCCTGGCCCATGAATTACTCTTTCCAAAATAACTTGTAAAGTTAATAGTCTCTCATCCTTCAAGAACCACTTCTTCCTGATACCTAAAATCTCCAAATAAATAATGACCAGGGTAGAGTGCTCATGGGAACTGCTGATACAGGTTCAACCTTTCTAGTCTGGCATTCTCTTGTCTGGCAACATCCGTGGTCTGGCATGATTTTAGTTAGCTGGATGTTCTCTCATAACGGGTGTGGCCAAGTTTCCTGTGGTCCCATAACATTTGTTTACAGACACCAGTCCTGGCCTGCAGTGTTTGGTATTGTTATTTAGCTCTAATTTACCCCTAATATCTCCTAAGAGCCCATAAAGCAGTGGACATGTTGGTAATGCTGCTAGACGATATTGACCCCCTGTGGTTAGGCAAATTCTCTGATTCAATACTGGTCACGTCTCAAGGGTGCTGGACTAGAGAGGTTCAACCTGTATTACTTTTGTCCTCCCTACTCCTAGCTGCTCTTTATCCTAATAATGAATAATAAGTTGTTTGGGTCAGGGTCTCATTCCATTTTTCAACAGCATCTACTTTGTCCCATGATTTAGGGCCTGTGCAGGGTGAGTGCACCCCTCTCTCTTAGGGAATAGGGCTTACACCTATGTCCCTCCCAATCTGATTTCTTACTCGCCCTTATGAACAGGGTGATAGTCCTAGTGGACAGAGTCCATAAATTTGCCCTTGTCAGCTGGACTGCAGGGTGTAGGGGCCAGTGTCAGTCAATACGCCCTTCTTTGCAAAGCAGCAAAGCTAAATGCCCAGAGTCAGAAAATCTGCCCCTTGTCATGTGACAGTAATGCCTAGTGGTCCCTGCTGGGCACAGGGGAAGGTTTTGTGACCCTAACAGGGCCCGCCCTCCCTCTCCACTGGACCCCACTTCAGGACCCTGTAAGAAGCTGTAGCACAGGCCTCTGAGTCAGCAGGGAAAGGCTCCAGCTGAAGCACACAGTTAACTCTAGGCTTCAGCTTACTCACTGCTCTGCCGTAGGATTCTCTTGGACAGAAGCCTTTTGTCATGTCTGCTTCACCATAGTCTGGACATCCCTGTTCCCCCTAGGTTCTGTGGCTTGCCCTTCCTCCCACATCTCTGAACCTGCAGGGCCTTTAGGGTTACCTTGGCATCTGTCTGGGCTGCGGCATGGTTGGAGTGGGTTGTACACATCCTTCCTCCCCGGCAGTCAGCCCCAACTGAGGCAAGCTACTCTCTTTTATACCTGAAGCATGACCCTTAGGGTGAAGGGGGGTAGTTACTTAGCCACAGTGTAAAGCTACCCTATTCCCATCCAGTGTGGGACAAGTGTGCCCCATCATAGGGCTTTTGATTGCTTCTGTAATGCAAATAATAATGTAT